ATACTTACATATTAATAATAAAAAATTGAATAATAAATTGCAATTTTTAAACAAAAAAAATATAAAGTAATGACACTGTCATTGAGCTGCACCGACAGTTTATTTTATTTTTATGGGGGGGGGGTTGAGGGGATAACCCAACAAATATATAAAATGTTTGGTTAGCAATTGAAATTGACTGGAAAATAGGATTTTGAATGATTTAAAAAAAAAAAAAACTTTATATATGTATATAATTTAAATCTAGTGTGAGTAAGACTATATAGATAAACCCTTATATAATCCCTGAGCACACCGGTGAGCACCGGGCATCTGGACTGTCAGCTCTCTCTCTCTCTCTCTCTCTCTCTCTCTCTCTCTCTCTCAATGAATCAATGAATGAAAAGCATAATTAATCCGTTTAAATGTTAAACAGACAGACAGTCTGTATGTATATATGTATGTATGTATGTGCTGTCAATGTCTGTTTGTACTGTACTTTAAAGAGCACCGGTATATAAATTTATTATCATTATTATTATTTAAGGATACATCTGCTCTTATATACTGTATATGTCTCATCATCTATCGGTGCTCTCATTAATTCATTAAATAAATACTTTTATATATATACAGTACATACCTATCCTAAAACCAATCCTTATGAATTAAAGTCACTGTCTTTCTCTCTTTCTCTGACATAACCAGTCAGCTCCCTGTCCTATCCTGTAATGTTTTTGTGTGTATGATGTGTATGTGTACTGTCGCTCCCGGGGATCGGTAGCCATACAATATATATATATGGCAGTCCATTGGCATACGGTTTTTTTTGGTGCATAATCAACTTTGAATTTATTATTATTATTACAACTACTGTATTAGTATATAACATATATTTTTAAGTGCATATGTATTATATTATATTTATATGTAATTTTAATTAAATCATTTGAAATTTTTATTTATTGCAAATCGGATTTAAATTGCATTTTTGTTTTATTTTTTTTAAATAGAAAGCAATTGAAAATATGTCTCAATCTTTTTTGTTTTTTTTGTTTGTCTAAAACAATAAATTTTGTTTCAATTTTATTTAAAATAATATTCAATAATAAGTATAGATTTTATTTGACTGTCATTTTTATTAAGCCATTGCTAACAACTCAACGGGAAATGTATTAAAAAATAATTATTATATTTTAAGTTTCTCTTTAAAAGATGACATTTGAATTAATTATCAATTTTTTGTTGTTTTTTTTGTTATAAATTAAATGTAAGATTTTTTATGAGTGATTTTTGTTGTTTTTTAAAGTTTAGTAGGTTTTTGGCATAAAATTATATTTATTTATTTTTTGTTACAAACGTTTTACATATTGATTGACAAATAATTTAAATTTTTATATTTATCTATAGATTTTTTTTTGTTTAAATAAAAATTTAAATATATAGTGTATATATATATTTTATTTATATATTCAATAATTGCAAGTCTATGTAAATATATATATATAATTTTTGTAGACTTAATTGAATTTTCAACACACACACACACACACACACACACACTTAGACATAGATTATAACCAACATTTATACATACAATTATTATATATATACTGTATATATAATATGTTCAAATATTTTGCATTAAGTGAGAGTAATAAATAAAACTAACAGTAATTTTACATATAAACTTATTATAAACTACTTTATATATATATAGATATATATATAAATACTACTAAAATATAAGATTCATTAAAGTATAGTATTATTTCTACTGTATGTTTGAAAACTTAAATTATGTTTACAATGAAATGCATTAACATTTTTTTTAGTTGTTTTGTTAATAAAGTATTTTATAGTTTATAAAATGTCAAACATTTACTTATACAGTATATATAAAAATTTCCATATATTATATTAGTCGTCGCCAATAGTGTACACATATATATAAATTTTGATATATGTATATATAATATATTGCAATTTATATAAATTTTTAAGATAACTTATATATTGTAAAACTAATAGTCAATACAAGTTAGAGAGAGAGAGATAAGTCCAAAATATTATATGTATTTATATATCAATTTATTTATTTATTTATTTTTTTGTGGAGTCTTTAGAGGCTATTTTGAATCCAATATTTTATTTAGTCTAAAGTCACAAAAAAAAATTAAGTTTTCATAAAAGCTTTTATTTTCTCTTACAAAATGTATGTATAATTTAATGTGTTGTTGTTTTTTTAAAATAAAAAAAATCTTATTGCAAAACACTTGCAAAACCAATACATACATACAATATATACATACTATATATATATATATATCAATACATAACAAACAACTTAAATATATTACAGACAAATAGTCATATCTTGTAGTAGTAGTAGTGAAACAAATACAAGACATTAGTAGTTAAGTGGATATATATATATAATTTATAAATAAAGCAAAACATTATAATATATATATACATATAAGACATCAGTTGCAGACATCAAATAGATAAGCGCTAAACGCAATGTGTTTTGTAAACTAAAAGCTAAAATACATAGACTTTTATATTTTGTGGATAACATTGAAAGATACTGTAGTTTAGCCGCAAAATTATATCAACAAAAAAATTATTTTAAATAACTCTTATTTTTTTTAAAAATATATATATAATTTATTTTATGTTTTATATTAAAATGTAAGATATTTATGTTTAAAAATTTTTATTTTATACCTTATTTTTATTTTTATTTTCTCTATTGTTGGTATATATATATACTATTAAAGTTATGGCCAAATATTTTTAATGCTTAAACATTTATATTATACGTAAAAATTTTTATGTTAAATATGGACAAAACGGTAATAACAATCACTTTTATTACTCGGAGTCTATTATATTTTATAAATAGTTATAATACTGTATATATATATATTAAAATATATATTACATAATAGTAGACACAATCAGTGCCGCAGTCTATAACACACACACACACAAAATACTGTATATATATTTGTTTGATGGCAAACATAACATATAAAATTACACATCAAAAACACAGATACCCTTTAATGGTATGGTTTGTGTAATATCTACCAGTCCTGCAATTTTTAAAGTCATACTACTAATAATACTCATAATCATAATAATAATAATAATGTTATGGATAGCCCTATGGCTACTTAAAAAGCATATATTACTAACAAAATAATAAGTAATATATAACACACAGAAAACACACATATTTTTATATTTTAAATTTTATTAAAAGCTATTTAGAAATTTCTATTGAATTAAGGTTATTAAATATATGAAATATATCTAATAGTTATTTAAATTTAGTTAACATTTACAAAAAAATATGTGTTATACGGTCTCCAGTGTTATATTCATAATAATAATAATAATACATAAATAATAAATTGCAAATTGTATTGAAACATAAAGTATAAATAATACTATATATTTATACAGTAAAATAAATATAATATCTAATCATAAAACTAATTTGAAAATATTAAGTATGAAATATTTGATGTTTTTTAAAAAAAAAATTATTATTTACAGCATTTAATTATTTTAATAATAATAACAATATATAATATATATATAAAAATAATTTACTATTATTGTTATTTATATTTATAATAAATAAAAAAATAATAAAAGTAATTATTTTTATGCACAAAAATTATTTATCAAAATATTATTTATTTTTTGTTGAGTATTATATATAGTGTTTTCGGGTCTCATATTTCACGGCTTTTCATCCATCAATTGACTGATGTATCCGTTATATTGTTATTATTATTATTATAATATGTTTGTTGTTGTTGTTGTTGTTGTTGTCAATATTGTTGTTGTTGTTTAAGTTTAACTGAAAAATTATTTGACATATTTTACAATATAGTTTGTTAAGGGGAAATATAATACCCTTTATTTAATACCAGTAAATAACAGTAAATGATATGTTAATATCATTTTGTCTATAATACATAATAATAAGTCATATATATATAATATTTGACAACTAAAAAAAAATTTTGGTATAATTTATGTCATCGCATATACCGTTAGTTTTGTATTGTATATATTTTTTAAAATAAAAAAATAATTATAAACATTATTTATCCCTCTATTGATAATATATTAGTAGTATATAATCTATAATCTATATTCATTCAACAAAAAAAATTGTTTTTTAGTTTTCAAACATAAAATAATGTCTAAAGTTATTATACAAAAAAAAAACAACAATTTTATGACTTTTTTTTTGTTGGTGTTTGAAATTATGTTTTTATGTTTATTGCAATATTTATATATACAAAGATTTATTTTATTTTTTTTAATATTAAATTTTTATGCAATAAATATTGATTTATATATAAAAGAAAAGTAATTTGTATGTTGTTTTACATCTAAAATCCTGTATTTATTTTATTATTATGTTTTTTATGAAAATACTTTATATATATACAGTAGTTATAAATGTTTTATTTATTTATTGATATTTTCATTTGTTTTTGTGTCAAACTATTGTGAAACAAACAAACAAATAAAAAAAACAGTTTTAAATGTATTGAATTCAAATGATTTCCAATAAATTTTTATATAAAAAAACAACAAAAATATTTATTTGTCAATAAAAATTGTTTTTGTTTTGGTTTATTTTTTGTCTAAAAAATCAAAAAAATTGGAAATATCGATATTAAAGTTATTTTTAAATAATATAAAAAAATAATAATTTCATAGAAATTTTATGTGACAATTAAAATATAGATATATATAGTATATAAAATAATTTATAAATAAAATGTCACTAAAAAATATATAAATATTTATATATGATATATATATATATATATATAAATAATTCAAAAATAATTTAAGAATTAAATTGTAAAATACGAGATAACAACCAAAAAAAAAACATAATTAAATAAAAATAACTTTTTTAAAAAAAAAACATTTTTTCTAACGACACTAATAATTAATTTTTATTTATTTATTTATTTCAATAGTTGTTTTACTGGACACAACACAGGAAAGTTCGTTAGACTGGACACGCTATCCCTATGGACCACAATCTAGGACACCCGGGGTCAGTATATTATCCACTAGAATAAAAAAATATCTACCTGTCCTCTAACAAAATTTATTACTAATTGATAATTTTTTTTAACATGGTTGTTTTTTGTTGTTATTGTTTATAGTGGGTAGAGGAAAGTTTCACAAACTTTGAACAGGGCATCAACTGGCGATCCTATGTTACCTGTGATGTTGCCTACAATAATGTTAACAATTGGTTGTGGACACCGTTTATTGAGCGCAAGGATGCAAATAGGATGTACATCGAGATTAAGTTTTCAATGAGAGACTGTAACCTATTTCCCGGTATGTATTTTTTGTTGTTGTTAATTAATAATTTATCATCACTGCATTTAAATAGCTTGAATTTTGTATATATATATATATATATATATATATATGTTTTTAAATATTATAATTTTTATGTTGAGTTATCTGTTTTTTTTTGTAATGTATGCAAATACCCCCGGAAAATATATATATATTATAATTTATTATTAATTATGAATATATATTGATGTATCAATAGTTTTGTTTTAGTTATTTGTTTTTTGTTGTTGTTTTAAGTGATGATGAATTGAATGAATCTATGAATAATTGATAAGATATTTTATATAATAAATATTACATTATTTATATATATATATTTTATTTAACAGTTTAGATATATTGAATATATATATATAATATTGAGGATAGAAAATAATAACAAAAAATATAGTTTTCATTTCTGTATAAATAAAATAAATATTAATAATTTATTTTATTTTTTTTATAGCTTTATTGATATTTTATTATAAATATATATTTATTGATATTATATTATTAGAGAGTTATGTATTGCATTAAGTAGTCCAATGAGAGCCATAAACATATTATCAATATATTTGTTGTTTTTATTGTATTTTAATTTTTTTGTTAGATTTAACACATATATGTCTAAACTAATTGCTTTCAATGATTTTTTTAAATTCACTATTTATATGAATTATATTATAAGTATTTTTTTTGTTATTGCTGTTGAAATGCAATAAATTGCAGATTAAATTGAATTAAAAAAAATTTTTATTTAATAGTTAAGATATATATTATTTATTTTCAATTATTTAGTCCGAGAGTTATTTCAACATTAATAATAATAAAAAAAACACATATAAAATGTAAATTGCATATAATTTTATTAGTTTATTACTTTATTAAGTTTTTATTATTACAATTATTATTATATTTTTTTGAATAATTATTTTTTTTTGAAATAATTTAATTATATAATTTATATGATTATCAAATAATAATAACAACAACAAAAATCAGGGGATAGTTTAATAGTAAAAAACAATACAAACAAATATATATATAATTTTATTTTAATATTAATAAATTATATATATTTTTGAACTAAATTATAAATACATTAAGACTTATTATTTAGAGACCATAGGGTATGTCATCAGAAATTTTTTTTGTAACTTTTTTTTTAATTTACATTATATATATATAAACTTTATTTTTCAATTGTAATGCAATTTTTAAATTAAGATATATATAAAAAACAAAACAAAAATTTTTTAAAAAAAGTTAACTTATTTTATAATTTTTACACAACTCTATGTAAATGAAAAAAAATGCAAATATGTTTTTGATTATTACTTATATACAGTATATATATTTATTTATATAATTTAATGTATAGCGGGAAAGGGCTAAAAAATAATATATAGTAAGACAATCATATACTTTAAATCATAGAAATAATTTTTTTTTTCATTGAGAAAAATGCAAATTATTTTTTAGTTAAGATAATAATTATAATAATTATTATATTATGTTTTCTTGTTGTTGTTGCAGACATTTATTTTTGTTTTTAATTATATATATTTGTGTGTATATACCGTATATTTAAAATATTATTTAGTATACATTATGTTATTATTATTAGTATTATTTTCAAGTATTAGCCGTACAAATGTGTGATCTCTTACAATATAATTATATAATCATTTAAGAGTCTAACACACAAAAAATAATACTACTATACTGTAGACTAAAAAAAATAATGTTATAATAATAATTTCAATACTTAAATAATAATAATAATAACAATATATAATACTCACACGTCTACGGGATTAATGTACTTATAATATGGGTATATAATAATCAACATTTAGTTAGAGAGAGAGAGAGAGAGAGAGAGAGAGAGAGAGAGAGAGAGAGAGAGAGAAACCTAAAACAAAACAAAAATGATTTTCTTTAATCACATAATTACCAGAATATTCTTAGTATATTTAAAATACTATTATTATTAAATAATTATATATATTTTTAAATAAAATAAAAACAAATTGTTATATTAAATTGTTGTCTGGTTTGTCATAATTTTAGGTATGGCCCTGTCGTGTAAAGAGACATTTTCGTTGCTATACTATGAATATGACGGTAAGGGCGATGGCCGGGACGGTCCTCCATGGGATCCCGACTCCTATAAACTGATTGACCGCATAGCTGCCGATGAGGGCCGGTTTACGTCCAATAATGAGGTTTGTATTGTATATTAAATTTTCATTTTTAAAAAAAATTTAATTACATTTTTCATGCAATATTAATATTTTTTAAAATATAATTTTAATGTTTAATTAAGACATTAAATTTATTTATATTTTATTTAATATCCCAATTAATTATTATTATTATTATTATTATATATATATATATATATATATACAGACACTATATTTTTGCTAAATGATAATTATTATTATTTTAATTTATTTACCCGAAAGATAAAAATTTTTTGAAAAGATTCCTTGAATAGAAAAATTATTTATTTATTTACTTATATTTTTTTATAATTATATAAATTTTATTGAGTAATTAAATGTTTATACAATAATATTATATAAATATACTGAGTATTTGATGATAAAATTACTAATTTATTTAATGTTATGCTATATAAAAAAATACATGTATTACTTAATTAATGTCAAGTGTATTGAATATTATTATTATTATTATTTAATATTATCACTGTTACTGTAGTTTTAAGTTATTTGAATTTGAAATTAGTGTCATATTTTTTTTGATGAGATATTTTTTAAAGATAAACTTTTTTATTATCCGTTAAATTACAATATTTACTCTAAAATATACTCAAAATTAACGGTTTTTAAATAACTACTTATATATATATAAAACAAAATGACATATCTATTGGGAAATTACTTTTAATATATTTAAAAAAACATGATATAAAGTGTTTTTTCAAAGTCAATGAACAACAAAATAATACAATTAGGGATTTTTTGTTGTAGTTGTCACACAAAAACACTAATAACAACAACAACAAAAATAAAGGGTGTTTTGTAGGACAGGGAGGACACACACACACACAGACATAATGACAATCTACTTGACATTAATGATAGTTAACGGTCTGATTAGCTATTGATTGGGTGAGACTACTTGAGTGACTGACTGACTACCAGTGCACTCATCTAACAGTGATGTTACCAAATGTTTTAAGGGCCCATATTTTTTTTTTTTTTTTTTTGATAGACATATATTATATATACCAGTAGTATATTATACTATCACATACCCTACCATTAATTGGCCTAATTGTGTGTCAAACAAACTATAAATAATATAAATACACATACTATTGATGAGTGAGTGAGAGAGAGAGCTCCGGGAGATAGGGGTAAACAGAGACATAGACTAGAATAGACACCATGAATAACATGATTATACAATTAGGGTTTGCTTTCTGGTTATATATGTAGATATTAGTGGGCTAGTTATGTATGCACCGGGAGTTTGCCCTTTTAGACATACATAAAAGGGTTTTTATATATTTTTGATAATGTAGTTTATATAAGGGTTGTCAATGAGTTAATTATTATACAGTAAAGGGGAGGAAAGTCATACACTTATAGTACACACACACACACACACATACACACAAAGTGCATACTAAAACTATGATTCAAAATGACAATACAATTGATAATATTATACACTTATAATACACTAACAACAAACAAAAAACAACAGGCGCTTTGATTATTAGATTTGCACTCAATTAGATCCCGGAGCCAGTCATGTATGTGTGTGTGTATTAGAGAGAGAGAGAGAGAGAGAGAGAGAGAGAGAGAGAGAGAGAGAGAGAGAGAGAGAGAGAGAGAGAGAGAGAGAGAGGATAGAAAGGGTGACTGGACTTGAATTGACAATGAATTTCAATGTAGTAATAGACAAACACATAGAGAAAAACAATAATAATAATACAGTAATTAAAATATCAATAGTCAGACCTCTCTCTATCTATCTCTCTATTTATATCTATTAACCCATTAAACTGTAGGCTCAATAACCAATTAATTGATATATTAATAATAATAATAACTATTAAAATACTATATATTATCATTTTTGAAAATCATGGGAATGAGAGCTAATTTATATATATATAATATATGATACTATAAATAATAATTATTAGGACAGTTAGCTTATAGGCTTGATTTTTCAAACAAATTATTTTTATTTTTCAATTACTATACAATAATAATAATAATTATAATCTCTCAATAATTAAATTGATTTAATTATACATATCACTGTATATTATTATTACCTATTATTATACTATTATTAGTATAGATATCTATAATATATGATATAATAATTGCTAATAAATTGTTTGTTTGTTTTATTTTATTAACCCCTTTCCCTGCCGGCACCTGTAGGTTATAATCAATACCGAAATCCGAAGCATACCGGTAACCAAAAAGGGCGTCTATTTTGCTTTCCGCGATCAGGGAGCCTGTCTGTCCATAATAGCCATCAAAATCTACTATGTTGTCTGTCCCAATATTACGACCAACTTTGCCAGCTATCCGGAAACACCAACTGGCCGTGAATTGACTTCAATCCAAACTACCGAAGGCCAGTGTGTATCAAATGCTCAACAAGTAGACAAACCGCGACTACTATGCAAAGGTGACGGCAATTGGACACTACCGTCCGGCGGTTGCAAATGTATGGCCGGCTACGAACCGATTGGCAACACTTGTCAGGTGTGTCCGCCGGCAACATTCAAACCGGTTACCGGCGACGAGTTGTGTAGGCCGTGTCCCCGACACTCGACCGCACCGTACAGAGGATCTACTGAATGTCGATGCGATGCCGGCTACTATCGGGCCCAAAAAGATCCCAAATGGATACCCTGTACACAACCTCCCAGTGCACCAATGAATCTGACAGTCAACTTTGTCGACCAGTCAACAGTCATACTGTGGTGGGCACCGCCTAAATATTTGGGCGGCCGTAACGATACTGTCTACCGGATTACATGCGACGCTTGCGGACCGTCGGCTACCTATGTACCCGCGCAGGAAGGTTTCAACGATACCAAAGTGGTCATATCGGGCTTGAATCCCACCACTACCTACCGATTTATGGTCTACGCTGAAAACGGTGTTTCCGGCTACGATACGGCACAGTTTGTCGACATTACAGTAACCACCGAAACATCCGGTTATATATCGTTGATAACAATGTCCGAAGACGGTTCCGGTCAAAAATATAACGCTATGCCGCCATCATCGACGGCCAATACACTAGTGACCAACGTCCGGATAGTATCGGTAAAAAGTAGCGAAATTGTGTTGGCCTGGGATCGACCCGTCGACGACCAATCATTCAACGACATAATCATCTATCAGGTGAAGTACTATCAGAAAGGACAGGAAAATCGCAATTCATCGACAATTATAGTCAATAAGGAACGACACGAAACTGTTGTCAAGAATCTCCAACAACGAACCGAATACTTGTTTCAGGTTAGGGCCAAATCAATGTCCGGTTGGGGCGAATATAGTAAACCGTTGGCCAAAATGACTGGCCAACTGATTGGCAGCAATTCGTATGTATCGGGCGATGACGACTCTGTTCAGGTTCGCATCATAATAGCCGGCGTTACCGTTGCTATTGTCGTCTTAGTGGTCATAGTCGTCATGATTGTATTGTATATGAGAAGCAGCGACGACTGTAACAAAAAACAACCGTCCGATTGCGATACACTAGAATACAGGACAGCCAGCGAAGTAGTTCCCGGTACTATTGTCGACGTACTGGTACCGACTGGCCGTTTTAGTTCACCATGTTCGGTACGGACACCCCTGTTTACACATTGTTCATCATCCAGTCGTTCCTATGTCGACCCGCACACCTACGAAGATCCTAATCAAGCGGTCCGGGAGTTTACCAAAGAAATCGATGCCTCAAACATAACTATCGAAGCGATTATAGGTGGCGGCGAATTTGGTGACGTATGTCGGGGTAAACTTCGGATGCCTGGCCGTCCCGAAATGACCGTAGCCATCAAAACATTGAAACCTACATCAGCTGAGAAACCACGACTGGATTTCCTAACCGAAGCCTCAATAATGGGACAGTTTGATCATCCGAATGTGATATACTTGCAGGGAGTGGTCACCAAATCCAATCCGATTATGATAATTACCGAATACATGGAACACGGATCGCTGGATACCTTCCTCCGGGCCAACGACGGCAAGTTTCAATGTGTCCAACTGGTAGGTATGCTCCGGGGTATAGCCTCGGGTATGCAATATCTGGCCGAAATGAACTACGTTCATCGTGATCTGGCCGCCCGTAACGTACTGGTCAATTCGACACTGGTATGCAAGATTGCCGATTTTGGACTGTCCCGCGAGATCGAAAGTGCCACTGAGGGCGCCTATACTACTCGGGTAAGTCCGTGTGTTTGTTATCTATGATATTATATGTATGTCTGCGGTAGTAGTGTCTAAAGTAATGACAGCTAAAGATAACAAGCTGTCTCTCTAACAGCAGCAGCAACAGCACCGGTATGTTATATACCCTGAATGATAGACACTAATGGGACAGTTGACTAACAAATTTTTTTTAATGAGTTGGTCTCTCACTATCTCATTATTAGCTGTTATTAGTGTTTGATAAGCTTTAAAGTTAATGTCAATTATTTTTATTTATTTATTTTTTTGTTTGTATGAATTTATTTATAATTTTATTTTTTTTATTTAATTTTTTGGTTTCGGTGTATGTCATGGTGTTTGACATTCATTAATACAATTTGTTTCGCAATTATTATTTATTTAGTTTATTTTTATTCTAGTATTTTCCTAACGGGACAGTAATTATGATGATTATGACTGTCAGTCAAATATATCTAACTTTCCTTTTGAAAAATTATTTTCTTATTTATTTTCAACAAAAAAAAACTTTATCACATTTTTTTGTTGCCTTAAATTTGTTTGCTCTCTCTCTCTCTCTCTCTCTCTCTCTCTCTCTCTCTCTCTCTCTCTCTCTCTAAAACCTGATAATTATCTTTTGAAATACAGTATATATATATATATATGTTTGACTGACTAACTCATGAGTGCCTTTCAATCATTATCATCTCATCCAAGTGCTCTGTGTTCAGACCCGACAGTCCTTTTTTTCAACATCAAAATAGAAATGTTTTAACCTCCAGTTCCCCCCCATTTTTTTAGCTGATATTAATAGCTGATTATTATATAGTTGATTATGATTGTCTGGTAATTTAATCTTTAATATATATATATTTTTGCTTTAAAATGGGTTATGTTATCGAAAAATAATTTTTGTTTTATATAGTATTAATCTAATTATAATTAAAGATAAAATACCGAAAATTTTATAGTACAGTGAATATAAAATGATGTATTTATCTTATAATTTATTAGCTATTATTTTAGTTATTGTTTTTTTAAAATAAAAGTGAAAGGGTTTGCACACATACCTAACCTAACACACACACACACACACACACACACACACACACACACACACACACACACACACACACACACACACACACACATAAACTTTAGAGCACAGGTATCTCAACAACAAAATTATAACAAATATTTTTTTGTTGAGAGGAGGCGTTGACCACAAATTAGTGCCCATTAAAAGCTATTTAATTTAAGTTTATATAGTTTTTAGGGTTTTTTAAGATTTGATTCATTCATTATGTTTATGAGTGTGTGTGTGTGTGTGTGAGAGAGAGAGAGAGAGAGAGAAAGAAAGAGAGAGAGAGAGAGAGATACTATCGCTTATGGATATATCATATGTGTATACCTTTACTTTATCATACATTTAAAAAATTATATATATAAAAAACAGTCAGTTTAGAAACTAATTATTAATGAGGGTTTAAGTTTCACATAAATTAAATGATTAAACTTAAAATATATTATATTATATTATAATGAATGCTAAAGAATTTTTTGGTTAACTTATTATATATATATATATATAAAAAATACTTTAGATTTTAATCAGTGCACTGGCATCTCATACTGTATAACCCTCTCTAAATACCCATAGCCTACCTGAGCTCTGCTATGCACTTGAATTGCTATAATATCTAATACATAATATGCTATACATACTGTATATATATATATATAATGTAACCCCTTAAATATCATACATACATAATATTTTTTTTTGTATGTGTGTAGATATGTTATTATATAATTTAATGGTCTATATTAAGGAAATGGCTATATTAAAAATAAATAAATAAATAAATAATACATTAAATTATTATAACACATAAAATGAAACTAATTGAATGTCATATAGCTATCTCTAAGCTTATTAGCTGTCATAATATACTTTTTTTTAAAAAAAACACATTTTTGAATTACTAATTAAGTATTTTAAGTTCCCATAAAATAAATAAAGTAATTAATTCATTTAATTAATTAAACTAATTTTTATATATCATATATATATATATATATATATTGAAATATGTTATATAATGTTTGTTTGTTTTTTAATTGGACGACACAAATAGGGCGGCAAAATACCGGTGCGATGGACAGCACCCGAAGCCATAGCCTTCCGTAAGTTTACATCAGCTTCCGATGTCTGGAGTTTCGGTATTGTTTGCTGGGAAGTACTGTCCTATGGCGAGAGGCCCTACTGGAACTGGTCAAACCAGGATGTCATCAAGGGTATTGAAAAAGGATACCGATTGCCACCACCAATGGTACGTATATCTATATATATGGGGGATCTCCCGGTGCCTATATTTTATATATATATACATATATATACTATTTAGTGGCAAATGAAAACAATACAATAATATATATGAAATATATATTCAAATACTTTTATAATTTATTATATACTGTATTATATATTTTTTTTCAACAACAAAAAGCTAATTATTGTTTGAAAAATAATTAGCTTTTTGTTATTGTTGTTGTTGTTGTATATGTTATATACAGTGTATAATATTTTTTTAATAATATAATAATAATAAGCATATAAATCAATTGTTTTGTGTGCTATATATGATAGTTTAATTTAATTTTTATTTTTTTTAAATTAAATACAATTAAGGTTTCAATTTATGGTGAAGACATGAAATGTAAATTAGATTTTAGTTTTTTGGTTTAATTATTATTATGATTATTAGTATATTTTGTATAGTATTTATACATTATATATATATATATATATATATATATATATATATATATATATATATATATATATATATATATATATATATAGTGTATGCAAAACAAACAAATCGTTTAGGAGTTTTGAAAGTTAAACAACTTTTTTTATTTATTTATTTATTATATATATATATTTGACTACATAATAGTCCCGACTATTCATGACTATGTATAATATAATTATTATTTTAATATTATATAATATAATTGTAATTATTTCTATACACTATAGGGTATGGGGTTTTTGCAAATTGCAATTGCATTAATTAGAGTCAAATTATTTTATTTTTTAGTATCTCATTATATATATATTAAAAAAAAAGATAGTTAATGAATACATTTTGAAATTATTTAAATAAATATATATATATTATTTGTAAATTTGTTAGTTAGCCCTTGAGCTTAGGGTATGAGTTAGCAATTAGTTTATATATATATATATATTTAAAAATTTATTTTATATATTATTTTATTTTTTGTTTGATTTTTAAAATTCTGTGAGTAATTTGACTGATAATTATCGGATACTCACACACACACACACATGAATTAGGAGGGGATGGTTAGGCCAGGGCTATTGTGTCGGCAAAAATTTTTAGCTTGAGATTGAAATTAATGACTGCATAATGATTTGTTGATGACCAGGGATGTGGTGATTTGGGGGAGAGTGAGTGAGTGAGTGAGCACTGGTATCTTATTTTTGTTTTTTTTCTATTGTGTTGATTGAATGTGTGTATGTGTGGAGAGTCATAGTCATAGACACTACTGGCAGATGGTCTATACTATAAGTTTTTTTATATATACATACACTTACATATGATATATACGCTTATTATATACGGCATTAAATGGTATTAATTACTAAATAATAATATTTTTTTAAAAAAATCTATATATTCGTGATTTAACATAAAAAAATCTATGATATATTGTATTTTATTTTTTTTTTAAAAACCACTCTAAATATTATATATATATATATTACATAATTCACGATTGAATTATAATATACATGTAGTATTAGTAATAATAATAATAATAATAATACACTTATTAACGACCATATAATTAATGAGTGTATTGTTGTTGTTGTTGTTGTTGGTTATTGTTATTAAACTAATGATGTCTGGGTTTGTTTTGTTGTGGCACTGGTATGTCTAATATAGGACTGTCCTGAGATGCTGTACGATAAGCTGATAATGGAGTGCTGGCAAAAGGATCGCAATATGAGGCCCACGTTTTCACAAATTGTTAAAATATTAGATAAGCTAATCAAAAATCCAGAAAATTTGCACAAAATTTGCAAAACAACAAGGTTTGTGTGTTTTTTTTGTTGAATTATTATATTATTTTTTTAAATGTTAACCAAAAAAAATTCTTGGATTTTATGATAACAAACAAAAACAATATCTAATTAGTAAACGATAAATTATATAATATATTAAATTATGTATTATTATTAATACATTGATTATGTAGTATTTTTCTATACATTACTTGTACTGTATATCTACTGTATATAAGTGTGTGCAACAAACCTAGTAATTATGTAATTACTTAAACAATCTGTTAACTAAAAATATATATATATTTTTTAGTTGATGTGTTGACCAAATGTTTACCTATACATGTATATATATACAGCCAAGTTTTTTATTGTCGCCCCCACCTACTTGTCCGCCCTCACCTATCCTTCAATATATTATATAATGTTTATATATACTGTATATATATAGCTCATTGATAATATTATTAATAATATTTAGTTTTAATTTATTTGTTGTATGATTTAATTGCTTATATCTCTAAATACCAGTAAAAAATATTTACATATATCAATATATTGTATATATTAATTGTATGCAAACATGCAAAATGCTTATAAACATTATAATTATTTTAAAACAAATAATACATCCTTAATATACAGTATATATATATATATTTACACGTATTAATCAAAATGTTTTATATGTATAGTTATTATGTCCTAAAATTTTATGGCTTATAATCTAAATGGTGTATTTAAATGTATGATTAATTTATTTTATTTTTATTTATTTTATATTTTTTTGTTGTTGATAATTACAATTTTAGTGTTAGTAATACTGTATATATATATATTTAATATGGATATCATCTCCCATATTAACCCATTTACACATATTATATTAAAATACATACCCATCCCTGATCTTGAGTGAAGTATTTTTAAAAAAACTAATTTATAAATTAATATTTTATTTATGATTATTGTTATTTAGCTATCGTTTACTTACTATAATAAATTATTTTCTAAAAAAATAAATTTATATTTTAATTTTATGAATTCAGTGAATGAATTGAATTGAATGAATCAATTGAAACAAAATAAACAAAACTAAAAAAAATATATATTATTTAAGGGTTTAGTGTATTTGCAGTTAATTTACATTTAAATGATTTTTTCGCTTAAAGATTATTATTATTATTATTATTAGTTGTTTTTTGTTTGTTTGTTTGAAACGTAAACTTCTAGTAGTATTTCTCTATCATTTTGTTGAGTTTATAATCACTGGTTATGTATATATATATATATAATAAATATGTCTTATATTATGTATAATATATTTTTTAACAAAAAAAATTATTTGTGTAAATCATTTACTAGAGAATATATATATATATATATATATATTGAATATATATTTTATAAAGTATTATAAATTATTTTTTGTTATACCTCCCTGTTTCCCCCTCCCTTTCCCATAAACATCAATGGTGATCCCTTTTTACCTTTATTTGAAAGCTTATAATTATTGCTAAGATATGTTATGTATGTCTATGGGCTTTAAATCAATGAACAGGGAGTGTAGGTATGAGTCCGAGACAGTTGTTTTGATGATATGAAAGGATTCAAAAAATATATATATGTAAAAACAAATTGAATAGTTTTTTATTATTTATTATTATTTTATTTTTTTGTACTGTATTTCAAACAAACAAACAAAAAAACTAAAATTAAATACACCTTTAGTTTTTGATTGAATTTAGTTTTTTTTAGTATTATTATTATTAGTATTTTTTATTTGCTCAATGATCTACAAAACTTCAATGACATTGATATATATATATAATAGTTTACCAGTATATATATTAAATACATGTATAGTTATGTTTATTTAAAAATTTTTATGTTTTTTTCAAAAGTTTAATTCAAAACTTAGTTTTATGTGCACTTTGTTTAATAGGATGTCATCTAATAATAATAATAATATACAGTATATACCGGTATATATGCTGTACTTTAAATAAAATAAAATGATAGTATCTGTTATAATATTATTGAATATAATTAACTTTTTATGACTTTTTTGTGAATTTTTTATTTTTACTAATATTTAAGCTATTTATATATTAAATATATATTATTTGTTTAATGATTTACTGCATACTAAAAATAAATACTATTATATATACATTATATATAGACTTATTTATTATTAAATTATTTATGATTACACAGATTATAATTATTATTATTATACGATTACTATTTGCTATTATTATTGTTGTTAAATATTTATTGCACACACACACACACACACACACACACACACACACACACACACACACACACACACACGCATACACACACACATACATACATACACACATGCAATCTATGATTTATATTTGACAATTATTAACGATATTTTTTTAATTTTTATCTACCCTTCCCTTACTCGACACACACACACACACACACGTATAGGTTAACCGTTGACCCGTTTGGTGAGCTGAACACAATGTGCATACCCGATGTCATACAATTCAAATCGGTAGACGAATGGCTGGCCAGTCTCAAGATGACCCGCTATCGGCTAAACTTTGAACAATCAGGTGTTACCAATCTATCGGCAGTGGCCCGACTGACGGCCCAGGATTTGGCCATTATTGGTGTTACACTAGTTAGCCATCAGAAAAAGCTGATGAACGGCATTCAACAGTTAAGACTGCAGACCAGTATCGGTACGCCCGAGGGTTTCCTCGTATAAGTGCAGTGACAGTAGTATTACTAGTAGTAGTAGTGTAGTGACAATCATCGCCCCTATAGCTGGTCATTAACTGTGGGATTTTCACTGAACATTAGGACACTTAATACCATTAAAAAAAATATAAATTTTTATCGTTAACTGATATGGACAGTCATATTTTTTTTTGGTGGTATATGTGCAACAAAAACAGTGATTATAAAAAAGCCATTAATTGATAGAGAGATATATGTGTTTTTTTGTGTGACTCTCTATAAGTGACTACTAATAATAATTGTTATGTTATTTTTTAATTGAAATATTAAATATAATATTTATAATGAATTTTTTTAAAGAGTAATTGAAACTCGAAAAACAAAAAACAAAACATTTTTATTGTGACTATTTATTTGTGAAATAATTAATAATAATAATAATATATTTGAAAAAAATGATATCTTATTATATATATATATATATGTATAAATAAATTGACCGACAAATCAAGCAAACAATATATAAACTTATAATTAATCGCTTAATTAATAATTCAATTCAATTGGTATTTTTAAATAAAAAACTAAGTCATGGATGATATGTATGGAAAAAAACTGTTTGAAAATTAGATGAAAATTAATTAATTAACTGAAAAAATTAATTCAAAAAAAAAACAAACGGCAGATACCACACACAAAAAAAAATTGCAATTATAATTGATTTACACATAAAACGCTAGAAAATAATAATAATAATCAAAAAAAAATTGTATTAAAATTATTGAAAGAGATAAGAGAAACAAAAATAATATCCATAAATAGAAAGTTATTTATATATATATATAAAACAGTAATATATTATTTGAAGAAATAATAATAATAATAATTTTTTGAAAACTAATATACATATAAATTGGATTAAATATAAATTTACATATAACTTCAAAAATTATACATTAATAATAATAATAATAATAACATCAAAAAAAATATATTAATAACCTAACTATCATTTCAACTAAAATAATAATAATAATAATTTTATTAACTTTCAGAGTACTGCCTATATATATATATATATATATCTTAACTATTATTTATAATAATAATAATATAAATGATAAAAAAAATTAGATATACAATGAGATGGCATATAAAAACAATACAACACACCGTTTTTGAAAATATACTAATAATAATAATTTAATTAAATGCAAATCAAGAAACTTATACTATTAATAATATAAAACATTTATATATATATATATTATATATATATTAAATTAATTGGAAAATTGAATCAACACTTCATCTAAAAAAATAAAATTCAATTAATAATTGTAACAATTTTTTTTATCTATGCGTTATATATCTGATTAAATACAATCATGTGTATCATATATACCGTAAAATTAAAAATAAAATTAAAATAAAACTTTTTATTATCTGTGAAAACAATTGACAGAGTTATGTGGTTAATGTCTGTATATATATATACTAATAATAATAATAATAATAATAATAATAATAATAATAATAATAATAATAATAATTGTAATAAATGTGATTAATTTAAATTGAATAATAATTAAAGTTATAATAATTATAATAATATGAATAATTAAAACAAACAAAAAATTACAGTCCATTGAACTCAAGAAAAAAAACTAAAGATATGGAGATATCATTTGAAAACTATATAAAAAATAATTTTTTTCTAAAAACTTTAATTCATATTCATTCATATCATCAAAAAAATAAAATAACATTTTTCTATATATATATATTAATTATTTTATTAATTATGAAGAAATCAAATTAATAATAATTGTCTCCAAAAAATTGATTGCTTAACAAAATTAATTAATAACTATAATAATAATAATAATATCATCAGTCCGTTATCTACCTGTCCATTAAAAAAACATAAATAGCCATTTAACAAAAAAAAAATCAACCAGCACCGATTGTTTGGACCCATATAGACCAACATATCAATGCCAGTATGTCCTTAACCCTATGCCACACAGCACCGGGAGATTAGCATCGGAGTATGTGTGTGTGTGTGTGTGGTATATGTGCTCTATATATACCATATATATATATTTGAAGACCACCTGAGATAAAACCATTACAACTATAACAACAACTTATCGGAAATTTTTATTTTCAAATATGTTTTATGTTATTATTATTATCATTATAATAAGTATTATGCATATATATTTTAATGCATTTTTTAACTATATATATATATATATAATTTAATTTATTGGCAAACATATTGAATATATGAATACTAATTTATTAGTCAAACAAACAAAACAAAACAAAAATTATTTTTAATTTTTTTTTACATACACTTACTGTCTGTAAATGCTATAAAAAGTTATGCCATATTTTTTTCATGTGCTTATACTTATGTTTTATATTTATTACAATTACTATATGCAGACAATATATATATATATATAAAAACAAAAGCAAATAACAACAACAACAAAAAGTTTATATTTTTGCCTTATTTTAACCACAATTTATTATTGCATACATAACACACACACACACACACACACACACACACAATAGGGCTGAGCTGTATATTACCAGATATATACACATAGCATATGTATGCATACTTGCAGTATGTATTCAAAAGAGATGCTAATATAAGAGATAAATAAATTAAAATGAGTTTTTTCTGGTATGTATTTTATGGTCACAAATATGATGAGAGAGAGAGAGAGAGAGAGAGAGAGAGAGAGAAAACTACTTAAACTAAAGCTATTTAAATGTAAATTATTTTATTATTTCTTTACATTTCTTAAATAAATGATATATAAATGTTATGCTATTTATGTGCCAAAAGAGATGTGAAATTAAATTAAAACATATAAAAACTAAACAAATAGAGAGAGAGAAAAAATTCAAGAAAATAAAAAAAGCAAAAATATTATAGTATTATTAGTATTAATATTAAAATTTGCAAAATTTACACAAAAAAATTGTTTTTTTTTATTTTAACCGCAAACATACATAACCAATGAGACCAATAGAAAAAAAACATTTTTTTTAAAATATTTGTTTTGATAAAAAAATAATTTTATGTAAGGTATAGATAGATAGATATAGAGGTAACTAAAAAAAATAAATTATTAAAATTTTCAAAGTTGGTGGTCATTAACTAAATAAATAAACAAACAAACAAATAATAATTATATTTTTATTTTTACAAAAAAAACAATTGTTTATTAAAAAAATTATTATTTCCTTATGTATTATATCTACTATTTGAATGGTTTCACATAACATAGTAGTCTCTCTCTCTCTCTCTCTCCTCTCAAAATCAATAAACAATAGTGTATTTTTCAATAATAATAATATTATTATTATTACAGTATTTTCTTTTTTAAAGTTTCAATCTTTTTTATAAAGAGATGATTATTGTTTAGGTAGTAGTCATTCATTTTATTAGCCATTATTTAGTTATTAACTGAAAATATCAACAAAAAAAGTTTATTTTATTTTCTTTTTTTTGGTATCAATACTTCAAATTATAAAGAAAAAGCCATAAATTTTTGTCAAATAATTCTCTCTCTCTCTCTCTCTCTCTCTCTCTCTCTCTCTCTCTCTCTCTCTCTCTCTCTCTCTCTCTCTCTCTGTATGTCATTTTGTCGCAACAAAATAAATAGTTTCTTTTTTTAAAAATAAAATAAATACAATTTTTTATATTAAGTTATATATGAAACAACAAATAATATCAAACAAAAGTGAAGTAAATAATAGAGACTAAAGATATTTAGAAAGAAAGAGAGTTTTGATATTATATATAACTTATAGACAGCGAAAAAATACTATTTTTCAATAATAGATGAGAAAAATCTCTTTATATATATATATATTTCGTATCATTTCTTATACAAATCATAGCCACAGCTGTGCTCTCTCTCTCTCTCTCTCTCTCTCTCTCTCTCTCTCTCTCTCTCTCTCTTAAAGATCCAGACAAACAAAAAACTTATTGAATAAAAAAACAAAAACTAAAATACTTTACATTTGTATACTAATACTCAAAAGGGAACTACAGTTAAGTTATGCCACGACAGTAGTAGTAGTAGTAGTAGTCATCATTGATTTCTCATATATATATATATATAGTTTGTATGTGCCATTCAATTTCAAATATACATACCGTTTTCCTACTGTGCATATATAAAATGTATTGAAAATAACAGTCAGTAAAATACAATCATATAATATATCACAAGAATATTCTCTCTCTCTTATATATATAAGTGTTTCTTAAAGAATCTATACATACATACAATGCATACATAAGCTAAACAAACTACTGGTGACACAGACACACACATACATAGACTGAGCACAAGTAGGTTTATGAATCACACACACACATGAATATATACAGACAGACAACATGTCTCTAAAGGCATCAATAAAATATTGAAAATGTAAGCAAAACGGAAAATATATACACAAATAACAAAAAAAAAAGTTTAGGATTTTTGTTTTGTATTGTTTTGTTTGTTATATATATATATAAATGTTTGCCAACAAAAAATAATGGGTCACTTATTGTATGTGTTAGCATATTATTATTATCGATATTGATATTATATTGCATTTTTAGCATTATAATACTTAGTAATAGTAATAATAATAATACTTACAATTATTGACAACAAACAAACAAAAATAAATAAATAAAATGGTTTGATATGTGACAGAAAAATATGATATTTTATTCAATCATTCAAATGATTATGATATGCCATTCAAATTGAATAGTAAATTGAATTTTTCACTTATAAATGACTGTATAATATTAGGAAACAGTTTTGTTTGTTTGTATTTCAATGGATAAAAATGCTATTATTTTTTGATTATATAACTTTTTATACTTATTATTATTATTACTATATATATATATGTATATCTCTCATAAACTTTGAATAGTTATTCAGATTTTTTTTTGTTGTTGGTTTGCTTTTGAATATATTAATATATATATATATATATAAAAATAAATAATATTTATTGTTTTTTATTTCGGTCTCATCACTTGCCCATTGAATATATCATCAGTTTATTGATACAACAAATATCAATGCATATAAAACTGTATTTTGTATTAAAATTGAATTTTTTTTCTTTTACTTATTGTATT